GAGGGCCTTCCTCTTTCTGACTGCGCCTCCACTTTACTGAGCATGATGTCCTTCTCCAGGGACTGGTCTGTCTAAACTATGTAAGAAAAATCTTGCCATCCTTGCCTCTGGCTGTACGTCTTCCAAGACAGGTTTGTTTGTCTTTTCAGCAGACCGTGGGACTCTCAATATTCTTTCCCAGCACCACCATTCAAAAGCTGCGTGTCTTTGTTCTTTCATTTGAATGGGGCTGATTAATATGCTTCCTATATTCCAACTGATTAAGTATATCACAAAGCAACATCACAATAAATGGAGAAGATATAGAAATTGCCAAGTACTTCATTTTATGTGGGTTAATAGTCCATACTCATCTAAAGAGCAGACAAGAAATCAAACAATGCATTGCATTGGGTAAATCAGCTGCAAAAAGTCTCTTTCAAAATTTAAAAAGTAAAGACATCACTTTGAGGAGTAAGGTGCACCCATGTCTTTTCAAGTACTTCACCTGCATGGGAAACCCGGTTAATAAAACAGAATGACCAAAGACTATTGCCTGCATTTGAAATGTGTTGTGAAGAATATTGAATACGAGGGGACTTCAAAGAGCTCAAGGAAGAATTCCATTTTCTACAAACTTTTGGAAGCCCCGACATGGCCAGTAGATGGCAATCAAATGATTGAATAGACTATGGCTCGCCCCGAATATTTTAGAGGAAGTATTGCCAGAGTGTGTGTTGACGCTCCAGTAGTGAGATGCCTTGCTTACTTTGGAAACGTTGTTATCAGGAAGGACCACTGCTTGAAAATGGACATCGTACAGACTAAAATAGATGGTCAGTGCAAAAGGGGGAGCCCCTTGACAGGTTAGATGGGCACAGTGGGCACAACAATGGGCTCAGACATACCTACTGTTTTGAAGAGGGTACAGGACTGAGCAAGGTTTTCTTCAGTTTACATGGGGCTGCTGAGTTGGAACCAACACATTGGCACCTAACATGTACCAACTGCCACCCGAGTCTACCTGCCTGAAACCAAGCGTCTTTCCCCCAAACCTGCTCTTCTTCCTCGCTTGCCATTTTTAAAATTCATAACCATTCTCCACCCATTTACTGGGGCCACAAACCTGCCTTCTTTTAATATGTTTTTTTTTTAAAATAATTGTAACCTACAGAAAAATTACAAGAAATGTATAAAGAACTTTGTCCAAATTCCTTTGCCCAATTTCCTCAATTGTTAGCATCTTACATTTGCTTGACCGTTCTTTCTGTCTCTCTGTTTTGTGGTTGTTTTTCGCTGCTGTCCAGTTGGCCTTGTGCATCCTGTGATCCCATGAGCACAGAGTCGAACTGTCCCCATGGTGTTCTCGACTGCAGTCTTTATGGAAGCAGTTCCACGGGTCTTTCTTCTACGGAGACAGCGGATAGCTTGAGCCACTGACATTTGGGTTAGCTGCCAATTGCCAATGTCTTATGCAAACTAGAGATCTTACCTCTATTATTTCTATTTATTTACATTGTTTTTATATATACATTTATTTTGAATTAAGTAGCCGAGAAGATGCATCATCACCTTGAACTACTTCAGTGTGAATTTTCTAAAAGCAAAGGTATTTAATGACCGGGGTATGGTCAGTAAAATCAGGAACCTAATACGAGTATTGATAAAATGAACTCACTGCCACTGAGTCAATTCTAACACATAGTGACCCTCTAGGACAGGGTAGAACCGTCCTGAGGGTCTCTGAGACTGTAAGCCTGAGTAGAAAGCCTTGTCTTTCTCCCAAAGAGTGACTGATGGTTTTGAACTGAGGACCTAATCCATGAAGTCCATTCAAATTTTATTGATTGCTCCAACATCCTTTATAGCAAAAGAATCCAATTCAGAGCCATGTGTTGCATTTAGTTAAGTCTCTTTATCCCCCTTCAATCTGAAAAAAAAAAAGTTAAAAGGCTATTTATTCCTTCTCTTGCATGGCCCTGACACTTTTAAAGAACATAGCTCCACGACTGTCTCTTAGTTTGGATTTGCTTACCTTTTCTTCATGATTAAACACAGGTCATGTCCTTTGGGCAGAAATACAATAGAAATGTACCTGAAAGGGTGTCACATAATGTGAATCCATCCATTGTCCTTAACTCTGATCACCAGCGCTGAATGTCTGTATTGTCAAGTTTCTATTTGTTTCCTTTGTAACTAATAGCTGTTTTGTGGAGCAATATGTGAAGCTGTATAAATATGTTCCTACTTTTATAACCGTCATCTTTTATTTTTGGTATCTACTGAGGACTCTTTTATTTTTTTTAAATGGTAATGGTTGCTAAATAGTGACCCACCCCTCTAGCCCCAAACCTGTATCATTCCTTCTTCATTTTAAATGGCATTGTAATGTCAGGATGAGCTGTATCTCCCATCTTTAAAAGTGCATTATTTCTATCAGTACACCCTGAGAGTTGGGCTTCTTTGCCTCCCTCGGCCTGCAAGCTACCACTGGATGGCGTTAACACAGCAACAAGTATCTAACGAGATCAGGGGTTCTCAACCCATGGGCCACGACCCTGTTGGGGGTCAAACAACCCTTTCACAGGGGTCACCCAATTCGTAATAGTAGCAAAATTACCGTTATGAAGTAGCAACGAAAATAATTTTATGGTTAGGGGTCACCACCATATGAGGAACTGTATGAAAGGGTTGCGGCATTAGGAAGCTTGAGAACCACTGAACTAG